AACAGTTGAATTGATTAGTCTTACAGAAGCAAAACTACAATAATCTTATCATATGTATTAAAATAACCCTTTTGTATTAAAATAAAAGGAGACCCTTTTATAGAATAAAATCATACAACAAGCAAACGCTTTTATGTGAACAATGCTATAAAACCTACTAGTGTTTACAACGAAAAAACATGTTGATGATGTTGTAAATACAATTTTGTTTGACAAAGTACCAATAAAGAATAAAGGGATGATCATGGATTTTTTTTTACTTTTGGATGAAGAAGCTTACCTGTTTGGAGATCGTGTTTTTCTCTTAATTGAATCTAGTTGTGGCAGTGTGACTCCGCCATCACTTCCTGCTCCATTGTTTCAATTACCAGAAAATTAAGATTTCATAAATATGAGAGAAATCTTACTTATTTATATCAAAGTAATAAGATAGGGAAATACTGATGGTTATATTTTTTGCATGAACAATGAAAATACATCAATAATTCAAAGATTAAATTGGCAGAGAAATCACTCTACATACCTGCCACTGATGCATGAGATGGACCTGCGATGATATTTTGGGGATACATAGGATCAAGCTCCATTTTATCCGACCATTCTCTGTTTCCAGCAAAATAAAGTATTTAATACAAATGCTTAAGCCATAAAACATTCGAAGTATTTATTTTTAATACAAATGGTTATACGCCATATAACATCAAATGTCAGCATCCAAAGCAATTAACAAATTAAAGCTGGTAATATTACCTTTCAATATTCTCTCTACGAGGCACTTCCACATCAACCATTGGAGAGGAGGCTCGCCTGAAATAAAATGATGGGAAGGGAGGATCCTTAACTAGTTTTTCCTTCTGAAGCATTAACACCACATCTTTCATTGACGGTCTTAGGTCTGGATCATCCTGAACACACCAAAATGCAACCTTACATAATATACTTGCATTTTCTTTATCCTTCTCCACAATGCCACAATCTGTTGTTATATAATGCTCTAGATTTCCATTTTCAAATTGGTTCCAAACTAGTCCAGGAAACCAATTTTCTGCTTCGCCGTTATTTCTTTTCCCCAAAACTTCAAACAACATCATGCCGAAGCTATACACATCACATTTAAAAGTTACTTGTGATTGTGGTCTCCATGCTTCTGGGGCACTATAACCTGGAGTCCCTCTAGTCCGTGATATATCGACACGGCTTACATCCCTTTTCATAATCCTTGCTAATCCAAAATCTGCTATCTTAGCTGAAAAGTTTTT